AGAGAGATTAGGATGAAACTAAGAAATCAAAGTAGAAGGAACACTGAGAATTAACAAATATATGGACAAATGAACAACACTCAAATCACCATGGGTCAAAGAGAAATCACAAGGGAAATTAGAAAATATATTAGACAAATGAAAACAAAATACAACATACCAAAACTTTGTTATATGCTGCCAAAGCAGTGCTCAGAGGAAAATTTATTACTATAAATGCCTGTATTTTAAAAAGAATGAATATCTCAAATCAACAAACCCAACTTTATACTCTAAGGAACTAGAAAAAGAAGAGCAAACTAACCCAATGCTAACAGAAGGAAGGAAATAATAAAATAAAGCAGAAATAACTAAATAGAGAATAGAAACAGAGAAAATCAACAAAATCAAAGTTGATTGCTTTCTTTTAAAATCCACAAAATTAACAAACCTCTAAACACAGGAGCAACAGAGAAAAAAAAGGCATAAATTACTACTATCAGAAAGGAAAGAGATGCCATTACTACTGACCTCATGGACAGTAAGAAGGATGATAGAAATATTACGAATAACTCTATCCCACCCAATTTCATAACTAAATGAAATGGACCAATCCTTGAAAAATACACAACTACCAAAACTCACACAAGGAAAAATACATAATTGAATGGTACCTATCTCTATTAATAAATTAATCATAATTAATAATCTTTCAAAATGAAGCAATTGATACACTTTCTTGCTTAAATTCATCAGTGAAAGTTTTAAGTAATAAGCAAGAAGTAATACAATTTTCCACACACTCTTCCCAGAAAATAAAAGCAGAAGGAGCACTCTGAACTCATCTAATTAGGCCAGCATTACCCTAATGCCAATCTGATGAAGACAGTATGAGAAAGGAAAAATGCAGACCCAATATCTCTCATAACGCAAGCAAAAAAAATATTAGCAAACAAAACCCAAAAATATATTAAAAATATATTTTATCCTGGGTGGTATGCCAGGTATAGAAGTCTGATTGAAATTTTGAAAATCAATTAACATAATCCATCTCATCACAGATAAAGGAAATGAAACTTTGGAGGCTGAAGATAGAAGGATGACTTGAAGCCAGGTGTTTTGAGATCAGCTTGGGCAATAGCGAGACCCCATCTTGACAAAAAATTTAAAAAATTAGCCAGGCATGGTTGGTGCACACCTTAGCCCTAACTAACTTTGGGAGTTAGGGCAGGAGGATTTGTTTGAGCTCAGGAATTTGAGGTTGTAGTGAGCTATGATCATGCCCACTGAATCCAGCCTGGGTGACAGACAGAGACCCTGTATCAAATAAAGAAAGAAGAAGAAGAAAATCATGTGATTATATCCAATAAATGCCAGAAAAACATTCAACAAAATCCACCACCCATCTCTTGGATTAAAAAAAAAATTTTTTTTGCAAACTAGGAATACATGGGAAATTCCTCAACCTTGATAAAAAAAAAAAATTACAAAAAACCTACAACTGACCTATAATTCTTAATGTGAGAAACTAGATGCTTTCTCCCTAAGAACCTGGAGCATAGCAAGAGTTCCCTCTCACCATTTCTATTCAACATCATACTAAACATCTAGCTAATGCAATAAGACAAAAAAAAAAGAAAGTAAAAAATATACAGATTGGTAAGAAATAAATAAAAATATCTTTATATGCAGATGACATGATTCTTTCAATATAAAATCTCAAAGAATAAACAAAAAAACTCCTGAAGCTTATAAGTGATTATAGCAAGGCTGCAGTATGTAAGGTTAAAAACAAACAAACAAACAAACAAAAACTATTGGTTTTCTAAATATCAGCAATAAAAATTGAAATTTAACATTTTAAAAAATGCCATTTACATTAGCACCAAAAAAAGAGGAATGCTTAACATAACTAACAAATATGTACCAAAAATCTATATGAAAACTATAAAACTTTGTGAAAGATATCAAAGAAGATCTAAATAAATGGGGAGATATTCTATGTTCATGGATAAGAAGTCTCAATATTGTTAAGATGGCAATTCTTCTTAATTTGATCTATAGATTTAATGTAATCCCAAGCAAAACCCAGGAAGTAATTTTATGTCTATTGACAAACTGATTATAAATGCAAAAACTTAGAACAGTCAACACAAAACTGAACAAGAAGAACACAGGGGCTTAGCACTCCCAACCTTTAAGACATAGTATAAAGTTACAGTAATCAAGACAGTGTGATATTGGTGAAAGAACAGACTAATGTATTGGTAGAACATAATCAAAAGTCCAGAAATAGACCCACATTAATATAGTCAACTAATCTTTCACAAAGGGGCAGAGGCAACTGAATGGATAAAGGATAGTCTTTTCAACAACTGGTGCTAGAACAATTATATATCCATGTGCAAAAAAAAAAAAAAAAAAAAAAAGAATCTAGACACAGATCTTATATCTTTCACCAAAAAAACCTCAAAATTTATCTTAAATCTAGATATAAAATGCAAATGTATAAAACTTGAGTAGAAAACATAGGAGAAAACCTAGTAACCTGGGATTTATAATGAGATTTTAGATACAATACCATGAAAGAAAGTAATAAGTTTGGCTTTATTAAAATTGAAACTTTTGCAGCTGTGGAGAAACACTGTTAAAAGAATGACTAGACAAGCCACATACTGGGGAAAACATTCGCAAAAAACATGTCTGATGACTTGTATCCAAAAATATCAAAGAACTCTTGAATCAACAATAAAAAACAAATGCAATTAAAAAAATGAAATGGCAAAAGATCTAGACAGAACACCTCACCTGTAGATGATATATGGATTGACAAGCATATGAAAAGATGCTCAACATCATATATCATTGGAAAATTCCAATAAGACCGATAATTAAATACTCTACACATATTAAAGATGGAAATTTTTTTTCCCTACCCACCACCTCGCGAACCACCCACCTCTCATCGATCTTGGAAACTAGGCAGTTGGCTGATCTCAGTACTTGAAGGAGAATTGTTTTCAAAAGAACTTAACAACATCGGAAAGATGAGAATGTGGAACATAGCATAAGAATCATGTTTCCCCCTCCCCTCATCTCGACTGCTGGTGGTCAGCGGGAGAGACCTGCGACACCAGCTTAGAGACAGCCACCCCAGGTAGCAGTAAGCCAGTAGCAACACAGCACCAGGTCCCCCAACTTTCTCGGGGCACCTCGTGTGCACAGACCTGAGCACACAGCAGGCATCAGATTGCCTCCTTCTCCCCTCTGCCAACCCTAACCTCACGGCTGCCCCAGAGAACACATATAGCCACCAGCTGAAGGACCTCCAGGGAACAGGACCTTCCTTTTGGGGCCTACAGCTGACTAGGGAATCCAGACAGTGGTCCCGATCCGCCCAGCCCTCCCAGGGCTGCTGGCACGGTTGATCCAGAGAACAGGGCAGACCCGACTGAAGACATAGACCTCAGCTTGTGCTCCCTGTGGGTGAATTGGGACTGGCACTCTTCTCCCTGGTGGATATAATTGAACCTCTGGGCGCCCAGAGGTCAACCGCAAACAATCCTATGCACCGAGTCTCCCATTGCCCGGGGCAACAGAAGGGATATACGTGACAGCCTACGATGTGTGCCTTTCGGGCAAGACAGCATCCTAGAGAGCAACCCTCCTCCCAAAGGGAGGCGCCGTGCACCCAGCCCAGTGGCGTTCCTGCCACAGGAACCTCCCGGAAAGCCACACAGCAAGTGGGAAGCCTGTGCCTGCAGTCTGGCCTGCTGGCAGAGGCCCAGAGTAGCCAGAGAGTTGGGGAGGGTGGAAATGAAGTGAGAGCCCACGCCAGAACTCGGGTCTCAACAGCCCCCCCACACGTAGACTTCTGACTGACCGAGGCCATTCCAGCTCCCCCGACAGCCTTTCTGGAAGCAAAAACAGTGAACTTGAACCCTGCTAACCTAGCCTCCCTGACAGCTTCAGAAAACAGAACTTTGATCCCTGCTAACAGCATTGGTGGTGCCTGAGGGAAGGCTTACCCAACCCAGCTCCACCCAGACTCTCTCCTAGACCAGCCCTCACTTGAGGGGGAGAAAAGGACACACTTGAGGTCCCGGGCCCCTGAGGCACTAGAGTGCCTCTCTACAGGAGCAAGAGCTGGTTACAGGACACAAAAAAAAACAGGGTAGGCTGTTCCGTCCCCAGCAAGCGCCACCTACTCACAGGGACCGGCATCCTGCACACCCTTTTCATGGCACTACTGACTCATTATCAGGAGTGGTTCAAATCTCCACTCACAAGACACCACCTACCGGCTCAGAAACTAAACAAGCATGTGAATACCCAAACAGAAACCTAAAGGAAAGAAACAACAACTGATCGACATGGAAGAAATCAGTGAAGGAACTCCCGAAATATGAAAACCAAAGGAAAACACACCCCAAAGAGCCAGCCCCCTAAGAAACAGACACCAACCAAAATCAGGCAACCAAAATGACGAAGAGGAATTTCAAATGTGATCATAAAAAAATTCAACTACCTGCAAGAACAACCATAACCAACACAAAGAAACCCACAAAACGCCTCCAGGACCTAGAACAAAGACTCACTAAAGAAATAGACATCAATGAAGAAAAGTTATAACTCTCCGGGCTTGGACTGGTTCAACGGCAACATGGCTAAACGCACCAAGAAGGTCAAATCATCGGTAAATACGGGACTCGCTATGGTGCCTCCCTCCGGGAAAATGTGAAGAAAATTGGAATCAGCCAGCACGCCAAGTACACTTGCTCGTTTTGCAGCAAAACCAAGAATGAAGAGATGAGCTTGTGGGGATCTGGCACTGTGGTTCCTGCATGAAAACCGTAGCTGGTGGTGCCTGGACCTACAACACCACTTCTGCTGTCACAGTAAAGTCCGCCATCAGAAGACTGAAGGAATTGAAAGACCAGTAGAAGCTCACCTTTGCAGACATTACTAGCCTATAATAAATGGGTTAATTTAAAAAAAATGGAAATGAAGAATCAATTCAGGGAACTACAAAATACAGTGGAAAGTCTCAAGAACAGGGTAGATCAAACAGAAGAAAGAATCTCGGAGATTGAAGATAACACCCTCCAATTAAAGAAATCAGTCACAGAGATAGAGCAGAGAAACAAGAGAAAAGAGCAAAGCCTACAAGAGATGTGGGATTATGTGAAGAAACTAATGTGAGGGTCATAGGGTTACCAGAAGGGGAAGAAGACAACACTCAAGGGTTGGACAAGCTATTTGAAGATATAATAGAGGAAATTTTCCCAGGCCTTGCTAAAAATCTAGATATACAAGTTCAAGAAGCTCAGAGGGCCCCTGGGAGATTTGATGCAAACAGGAAGACGTCACGACATGCAGTCATCAGACTGACCAAAATATCAACTAAAGAGGCCCCTCTAAGAGCTGTAAGATGAAAGAAGCAAGTAACATAAAAGGGAAAGCCAATTCGAATAACACCAGACTTCTCTACTGAGACTTTAAAAGCAAGGAGAGACTGGAGCCCCATTCTCACTCTTCTGAAACAAAACAATGCCCACCCTAGAATCTTATTCCCTGCAAAACTAAGCTTCATATATGAAGGAGAAATAAAGACATTCTCAGATAAGCAAAGTCTCAGAGAATTCACCAAGACAAGACCAGCCCTACAAGTACTCAAAACAGTGCAGAGAAGACCATAATAAAACAGAAGACCAACAGAAGACCATAATAAAAACTCACGAATATAAAAACAGCCAAACCCAAAGATTAAAGGCCAGATATTACAATGGCTCAAGACAGAAATCATAGCAACAACATCCAACCCAACAGAATGAACAGTAATCTACCTTGCCTATCAGTTCTCTCAATAAATGTGAATGGCTTAAACTCTCCACTCAAGAGCATAGGCTGGCTGAATGGATAAGAAATACAGGCCAAGTATATGCTGTCTTCAGGAAACACATCTAACCTGCAAGGATGCATATAGACTAAAAGGGGGGAGATCAGTATTCCAAGCAAGTGGAAGCCAAAAGAAGACTGGCGTGGCAGTTCTAATTTCAGACAATTTAGTTTTTAAACAAACGAAAGTAGTGAAAGACAAAGAGGGTCATTATATAATGGTGAAGGGCACAGTTCAACAAGAATAGATAACAATTTTAAATATATATGCACCCAACTTAGGTGCATCCAGACTCATAAAGCAAACCTTACTGGATCTAAGCAAATTGATTAATAGCAACTCCATAATCACCGGAGATTTCAACACCCCACTGACGGCACAAGACAGATCCTCCAAACAGAAAATTAATAAAGAAATAATGGACTTAAACAAAACTCTAGAACAATGGGCTGACTGACATTTACGGAACATTCTACCCAAAATCCACTGAATATACGTTCTTCTCATCAGCTCACAGGACATTCTCTAAGATTGACCATATCCAAGGACACAAAGTAAACCTCAAGAAATTTTAAAAAATAGCAATCATACCATGTATCTTCTCAGATCACAGTGGAATAAAAGTAGAAATCAACTGTAAGAGAAACTCACATTTCTACACAAAAACGTGAAAATTAAACAACCTCCTACTAAATAATTACTTCGTAAATGAAGAAATCAAGATGGAAATTAAAAAATTCTATGAACAAAATGACAATGGAAAGACAAGTTATCAAATCCTCTGGGACACAGCTAAAGCAGTTCTGAGAGGAAAGTTTATCTCCATAAATGCCTATAACCAAAAGTCAAAAAGATCACAAATAGATAATCTAACGAAAGGACTCAAAGAGCTGGAAAAAGAAGAACAGACAAACCCCAAACCCAGCAGAAGAAGTGAAACCAACAAGATCAAATCAGAACTAAACGAAATTGAAAACAGGAGATTAATAAAACAAAAAGTTGGTTTTTTGAAAAAATAAACAAAATTGACACGCCATTGGCTAAGCTAATGAAAAGCAGAAAAGAGAAATCTCTAATAAGCTCCATCAGGAACAAAAAAGGAGATATCACAACTGATCCCAAAGAGATACAAGATATAATTTATGAATACTACAAAAATCTTTATGCATGCAAACTGGAAAACGTGGAGGAAATGGACAAATTTCTAGAACACACAGCTCCCTAGGCTCAACAGGAAGAAATAGATTCCCTGAACAGACCAATCTCAACAGCTGAAATAGAAACAGCAATTAAAAATCTCCCTAAAAAGAAAAGTCCCAGTCCAGACGATTTCACACCCAAATTTTACCACACTTACAAAGAAGAACTAGTACCTATCTTGCAGAAACTATTCCACAACATCGAGAAGAACGGAAACCTCCCGACACCTTTATGAAGCAATATTACTCTGATACCAAAACCAGGAAAGGATGCAACAAAAAAAGAAAACTACAGACCAATATGCCTAATGAATATAGATGCAAAAATTTTCAACAAATCTTAGCTAACCAAATGCAGACGCTATCAAAAAAAATAATCCATCATGACCAAGTGGGCTTCATCCCAGGGATGCAGGGATGGTTCAACATACGTAAATCTATAAATGCAATTCACCACATACACAGAAGCAAAAACAAAGACCACATGATTCTTTCAATAGATGCAGAAAAAGCTTTTGACAAAATTCAACACCCTTTCATGATACGAACACTTAATAAAAAGGCATAAAGGAACAACCTAAAAATGATACATAGCCATATATGGCAGACCCATAGCAACATCATACTGAATGGAGAAAAATTGAAAGCACTCCCACTTAGAACTGGAACCAGACAAGGCTGCCCACTATCTCTACTTCTATTCAACATAGTGCTGGAAGTCCTGGCTACAGCAATCAGACAGGAAAGTGGAATTAAAGGTATCCAAATAGGGGCAGAAGAGATCAAACTTTCACTGTTTGCTGATGATATGATATTATATTTAGAAAGCCCCAAAGATTCAACCACGAAACTCCTAGAACTGATAAATAAATTTAGTAAAGTCTCAGGATACAAATCAATACACAGAAATCAGAGGCATCATATACGCCAACAACAATTAATTGAGAACCAAATCAAAGACTCAATTCCCTTCACAATAGCAACAAAGAAATTAAAGTACCTAGGAATATACTTAACCAAGAAGGTAAAATACCTCTACAGGGAGAACTATGAAACACTGAGGAAGGAAATAGCAGAGGATATAAACAAATGGAAATCCATGCCATGTTCGTGGATTGGCAGACTCAACACCATTAAAATGTCTATACTACCCAAACTGATCTACAGATTCAATGCAATACCTATTAAAATCCCATCAGCATTCTTCACAGATATAGAAAAAATAATTTTATGCTTAGTATGGAACCAAAGAAGACCCCGAATATCAAGAGCATTCTAGGCAACAAAAACAAAATGGGAGTATTAATATGCCAGATATCAAACTATACTACAAGCTGTAGTAATTAAATCAATCTGGTATTGGCACAAAAATAGGAATATTGACCAGTGGAACAGATCTGAGAATCCTAATATAAAACCATCCTCATATAGCCATCTAATCTTTGACAAAGCAGACAAAAACATACGCTGGGGAAAAGAATCCCTTTTCAATAAATGGTGCTGGGAAAACTGGATAGCCACTGTAGAAGGCTAAAGCAGGACACACACCTTCTACCTCTCACAAAAATCAACTCACGCTGGATAACAGACTTAAACCTAGGGTATGAAACTATTAGAATTCTAGAGGAAACTGTTGGAAACACTCTCCTAGACATCGGCCTAGGCAAAGAGTTTATGAAGAAGTCCCCAAAGGCAATCACAGCAGCAACAAAAATAAATAAATGGGACCTGATCAAACTAAAAAGCTTCTGCACAGCCAAAGAAACAGTCATGAAAATAAGCAGACAGCCTACAGAATGGGAGAAAATTTTTGCATCCTACCCATCTGATAAGGGGCTGATAACTAGAATATACTTAGAACTCATGAAAATCAGCAAGAAAAATCAAATAACCCTATTAAAAAGTGGGCAAAGGACTTGAACAGAAACTTTTCTAAAGAAGACAGAAGAATGGCCAACAAACATATGAAAAAATGCTCAACATCTCTATCAGGGAAATGCAAACCAAAACTACAATGAGATATCACTTAACTCCAGTGAGAATGGCCTTTATCAAAAAGTCTCCAAACAATAGATGCTGGCGTGGATGCGGAGAGAGGGGAACACTCCTACACTGCTGGTGGGACTGCAAACTAGTTCAACCTCTGTGGAAAGCAATATGGAGATACCTTAAAGCGATACAAGTGAATCTACCATTTGATCCAGCAATCCCATTGCTGGGCATCTACCCAAAAGATCCAATGACACTCTACAAAAAAGACACCTGCACTCAAATGTTTATGGTGGCACAATTCATAATTTCAAGGCTGTGGAAACAGCCCAAGTGCCCATCAATCTAAGAATGGATTAATAAAATGTGGTATATGTATACCATGGAGTACTATTCGGCTCTAAGAAACAACGGTGATATAGCACATCTTATATTTTCCTGGTTAGAGCTGGAACCCATACTACTAAGTGAAGTATCCCAAGAATGGAAAAACAAGCACCACATATACTCACCAGCAAACTGATATTAACTGAGCAGCACCTAAGTGGACACATAGGTACTACAGTAATAGGGTATTGGGCAGGTGGGAAGGGGGCGGGTATATACATACATAATGAGTGAGATGTGCACCATCTGGGGGATGGTCATGCCGGTGACTCAGACTTGTGGGGGGAGTGGAGGAAAGGGCATTTATTGAAACCTTAAAATCTGTACCCCCATAATATGCTGAAATTTAAAAAAAAAATACTAAAAAAAAAAGAATGCACGTTCATCAATAATGGAAATGTAAAATGATCCAGCCACTTTGGAAGACAGTTTGGCAGTTTATTACAAAGCTAAACATAGTTTTATTATGTATTCTGTCAATCATGCTCCTAGTTATTTATGCAAGCTTAAAACTTATA